AGAGAATAAAGAAGATTTAGCATTGATATAGTACAATGTGTTGACCTTTTTCTTTATAGGTTCTGAGTTGACATTCAATTTTGCATTTGTTGAACTGGGAACAGAAGCCTAGGGCAAGGCCAAGATGTGGTAAAATGCTGTAAGAATAAGAAAAAATAAATTCCTTTGTATTTAGTGGCTGCTTCAGGCCGGAGCTTTGCCTGTGAGGAAACCCTGAAGAGGAAACTATGACTCAGAGAGTTGCCTCATCTCTCTTTACAAGGTTGACCAGTGTATTAGGGTGCTTAGAGGAACAGGACAAAAGGACATATCATTCATATATTTAGGAATTTGTTAGGGAGCAATAGCTCACACAATGACAAATGAAAAGTCCCACAAATGCTGTGTGTAAACTGAAGAATAAGAGAAGCCAGTAGTGGAGCTTAGTCCAAGACCAACAGCCTCAAAATCAGGGAAGCCAACAGTGCAGAACCAGTCTGTACCCAAAGACCTAAGGGCCCCCTCTAGGCGACTGGTGCAAGTCCCATGATTCAAAGACTGTTGCAGTCTGAAGTCCAAGGGCAGGAAGGCCAAAAGGCATGTGCTCTGGAGGGAAGAGAAGAAAGAATGAAAGAGCCTAGCAAGCTGAATGTCCCCCTTCTGCCTGCTTTTCCCTAGCTGTGCTCTCAGGCTATTGGATGGTGCCCACCCACACTGAGGGCAAGTCTTCCTCTCTGAGTCCACTAAGTCACAACTGAATCTCCTCTGGAAACACCCTCACAGACACATCCAGAAGCAGTGCCTCATCAGCTGTCTAGGTAGGCATCCCTCAGTCCTGCCTCCACTCTTTGTTCATGTAACCTTTAAGCCATATGAGGAAGAGCTTGATGCCTGTTCTCTGCCCTCATCTGGAGGGCCATAGTCAGTTTCAAAGCAATTTCATCAAGTGTTTCTTCCCACCCTATTGGCATACACAGCTCCTCAAGGACCCTGGAGTTCAAGCTGTGGACGGAAAAAATCCAAGCCTGAAATATTTTTTTTTTAATTTAATTTAATTTTTTTTTGAGACAGAGTCTCGCTTTGTTGTCCAGGCTAGAGTGAGTGCCGTGGCGTCAGCCTAGCTCACAGCAACCTCAAACTCCTGGGCTCAAGTGATCCTTCTGCCTCAGCCTCCCGAGTAGCTGGGACTACAGGCATGCGCCACCATGCCCGGCTAATTTTTTATATATATATATCAGTTGGCCAATTAATTTCTTTCTATTTATAGTAGAGACGGGGTCTCACTCTTGCTCAGGCTGGTTTTGAACTCCTCACCTTGAGCAATCCACCCGCCTCGGCCTCCCAAGAGCTAGGATTACAGGCGTGAGCCACGCGCCCGGCCAAGCCTGAAATATTTGAAAGAAGTTTATTCTGAGCCAAATTGGAGGACCATGACCCGGAGCCACTCTCAAGAAGTCTTGAGCAAGTGGGCTCGCTGTGGCTGGGTTACAGTTCAGTTTTATACATTTTCAGAGAGACAAGGGTTACAGGCAAAGTCACAAATCAATACATGAGAGGCATACATTGGTTTGGCCCAAAAAGGTGGGACATCTCGAAGTGGGGGGTGGGGGGTGGCTTACAGGTCATAGGTGGGTTTAAAGATTCCTTGGCTGGCAATTGGCTGAGAGAGTTAGACTTCATCTAGAAGACCAGAAAGGATATGCTTACTTTAAGATAAGGGTAATGAGCACTCTGGGAGGTCCAGAGAGGAGGACATTTTAAATTTACAATCGGCGCCTGCTAGGATGCTTTAAGATGCTTTAAATTTAAGAATAGGCATCTGCTAGGATGCTTGAGTTAAGACAGGGGCTTCTTATCTTTTAGGTGATGTTAATGCCATACCAGAATCTGGTTGGGAAGTAAACCACTGCTTCATTTGGTTAACAAAAGCCGCTTAGTGGGAATTTACCGTTTGTCAGCCTCACCCAGCTGGCCTCCTTAGGAAAGAGTTTTTAGCAAAAGAAAAAGATCAGAGTTCAGTCCTCAAAGCCAACACTCTGAGCTAGGTTCCTGTCCCATTTCTTTCCCAGGCCCATCTATACAGATTCCAATTCTGATTTACCCACCCCAAACCAATTGCAAAGGTGAAGAAATAATAGAAAGGCTTTAATCATCATGTACAATTTCAATAGGTGCCATGACAATTCTAAGTACATCTAAAAGAAAAGTTGCTTACATACTAATTACATGGAGAGATTTTCTAATTGAAAAACTTTCAAGTCATGTAGGAAAGGAAGAACAAAATAAGGAATGATATCCACAGTAGAGATCTCAAGGCTCTATAAGCCGGGCGCGGTGGCTCACGCCTGTAATCCTAGCACTCTGGGAGGCTGAGGCGGGTGGATCACTTGAGGTCCGGAGTTTGAAACCAGCCTGAGCGAGACCCTGTCTCTACTAAAAAAATCGAAACAAACTAATTGACCAACTAAAAATATATATACAAAAAATTAGCCTGGCATGGTGGCTCGTGCCTATAGTCCCAGCTACTCTGGAGGCTGAGGCAGGAGATTCGCTTGAGCCTGGGAGATTGAGGTTGCTGTGAGCTAGGCTGATGTCACAGCACTGGCCCTAGCCTGGGCAACAAAGTGAGACTCTGTCTCAAAAAAAAAAAAAAAAAAAGGCTCTACGCATGCAGGGCACAGTTTAGGTGTAGAAGTCCACAGGAATAATAAGAGGGCACTTACTGTGGTGCTTGGGGCACCAACCAGGGCTTCAGTTGAAGTGGGTTATGCAATGGGTGGCAAGCAAGACTGGGGCTTTTTTCCTTTCCAGGTTCCTCCATATTTCAAACCTTGGTTTTTAGTAGTTTCTGGGGATGGCCTGGGCTCTATGAGGAAAAGTGTGTGCGTGTGTGTCTGGTTCTGCAAGCGCTGGCATCTCCTGGCTGGGTCAGGCCCCATTGCATCCCGCTGTTGGTACCATCAGCCTCCTGAGGTGAATATAGCTCCCTTGTGGTTTCAGCCATTGGCTCTGGGTCATGTAGGTCTTAACAGCATTTGTGGCCCTTTTCAACTATGGGAAGGGTTCTGAGCCCAGTGTTTACACAGCACACCTGCCAGCACGCATAGGCATTCACATTCCCACCAGCTGAGGGCATTGGCAGGAGTGACAGCTCAGTGCCTCTGAGTTATCAAGTGCCCAGGCCCAGGCTTGTTCTCACTTCAAGCCCAGAGGCATGTGGGGCTCTGGACAGGTCCACCTCCAAGAGGGCTCTTCCTAGGGGGAGGGATAAGGCTTGACCAGGCCACGTGGAGTCTAGAAAAGGGCCAATGCTTCAGACAACTGACTTGTTTGGAAAAAAAAAAAGAAAAGGAAAGGGCCAATGCGTCAACCGATCACTGACTGTGAGTTTTTATTTTATTATTTTTTATTCTCATGATTATGGTTTATTACAGGAAAGGATAGATATTAAAATCACCCAAGAGAAGCAGCACATAGGTTGAAGTCCAGGAAGGGTCAAAAATGCTCTGTCTCCAGGATCAGTGTGTGACAATATGGATGGAGTACTGCCAGCCAGAGAAGTTTGCCTGAGCTTCAGTGTTCAGAGCTTTTATTGGGTTCCATTATGTAGGTATGACTGACTGTCTGCCTGGGTAGTTGATCTCAGCTGCCAGGTGGACTGATACCATGTGACCCAAAGCATTCACGCTAAATCACGTGGCTGGTTTTTCTGGCATGGCTGGCCCCGTCCTCAGATCTTTTGGGGCTAGCTCTCACCCAAAACAAAGACACTCCTATTAGAGAGTCTGGGTAAAGGCCAGATCTCTCTTTGGTCAAATTCTTGATTACAGATCATTACTCCTTCTGCTCTCATCTATACTGTATTATTACACAGGATGGACCACCCTAAGCTGCCACTTCTTCACATGTTCTCCAGTGACATCTCTTTTTAGCTTCTACTGTTTTCAAAATATTTCTGTCTTCAATCCTGTTTCTGCATCTGAGTTTTCCTTAACTCCACACAAGTCTCTAAATGAACTGATATATTTCTTAAAGTGTGTTCTAAACATGATCAAAAAATTGTTTTACCTATTTTGCTTTTCATTCACTATTTCCATCAAATGGAACACAACACATGTCTCTTTCCTGTTGTCCTTTATATCCTCTAGAGCCCTGGCCTTACCAATACCAAACTGTACCTTTTCTTTTTAAGACGGGGCAGAGTGTCTCTCTATGTTGCCCCGGCTGGTCTCAAACTCCTGGCCTCAGGTGATCCTCTTGCCTTAGCCTTCAGAGGTGCTGGGATTACAGGCAGGGCCCACTGTGCCCAGCTCAACCTTCATTTTATGCAAATGTCTTAGGAAATTGTTTTGAAATTCCTTTTGGCTTTTATTTATATTCTCTAATTCTGTTAGACAAAATAAATCTGTTAGGCAAATAAATGCTCAATAATCCCTTTACTCTGATTCTAAATTAATCACTTGCCAACAAGTATGGAAGTGGTAAGAAAAAGCTTACAGGTATACTTAAAAATACTGAACTGATAGCCAAATTGAATGGAATATATGTTAGGGTAGTTTTTATTTTGTCATTCACTCCAATTAAATTCAAGGTCCTTATATGTCACTTCTTTCTGAGCTGTGGCAACTCTCTAACTGGGGCATCCATAGGGATGAAAACCAGCTAATCTCTACTTCTACTCTTCTGCAAGCTTAGGCCTGGCAAAGTGAGCCTCACAATATAGAAAGCAGAATGCTCGACAGAGTTGAATCAACATAAAGTGCCCCCGAAAGGGAGGGATGGAATAAACATTTCAGGTTACAAAATACTCCTGAGGACCTGTTTCTGACCAGAATTGGCAACTTTGAAAAATGGAATGGCTAGAAGGCAGCCACGTGAACCAGTTCTGACCTGCAAGCCAAGGGACTAGGGCCTGGGCCTACCTTCCCAAAGAACCAAAATCATTACTCAAAAGCAACCGCTGAATGCCAGCTTGTGGGGAAAGAAATGTGGCAAGTGACAAAATAACAATTAAGTATATGTATATATGCATACAAAGTTATTGTGTAGAAATAAAATCAAAACACTTTACAAAAAAAAATCAGAGATCTAATTACTCTAATTGTGCCAGTGTACAAATAAGAAAACTTTGGAATAATTATTGCCAGTGAGCATTAGTATGAAATGAAGTAACTTTAACTCTGATATAAGACAATGATGATTTTTTAACATTTTCAATTTTATACCCAATTAGATACTGATTACATCTATCATCAAATTAATAAATAAAGCAGATTTTTCTACTTTGTAATTCATGTCAAATTTAAGTCTCTTCACTGATTCTTTGTACTGAGAAAGGGTATTTTCATTTTCCTCCTCGTTCTTAAGAGTAACGACACAATTTTTGTAATCTTCAACTTCTTTAGTACCAAGGAGTTCTTCCTCATTTATGTCCGTAGTTTTCTCAGCAGCTTTAATCTGGAGAAGTGTTTCCAGGATATTTTTTTCTGAGGAGCTATTTTCCCATATATACTCTTCCATGTCTGCTTCAGTCTTATGTTTTTCCCATTCTTCGGTTTTCCAAGACTCGTGGTATAAAACTGTTAGTAGATACATTGCATAATCATAATTCTGTCTCCTTAAAGGGCATCTATCTGTTTTGATGGTAAGCACATCTGTGGTCTTGCAGTATCGCTCTCCTACAAGTTTAATAAGTTTCTTCTTTGCGTGGTCATCTAAATTCAAACTGGAAAGTTTAACCCTTAAGGTTACTACTCGTGCTTTGGGGTTTCGAATAGACGGTCCTGATGAAACGTAATCAGCAGTGTCAATTTCGATTGGAAAATGCTTTTCACATTTCTCATCACTGTCTAGTGCAGCTGGCCACTCAGTGCAAAATTCTTTAAGAGCTTCACAGTGCCTTTTAATTGCTACAGGAGTCAAATGCAGAAAATTGGGAATCTTTAAAAGTTCTAGATTTCCCTCCTTTGCCAACGGCATGCCCTTTTTCATTGGATAACCCATTCTAATAGGAAGAGGTACCACAGAGGGTTTAAATGGCACTGCAGCAGGGTAAACGCTAGGCCAGTCCTGGTCAACGGCCATTTTCTCTGTCCTAGGAGGCAGTGCCTTTCTTTTCGACATTCTTTCAGTTTTGGACGTTCTTTGAAGGCTAGGAGTGGCCGGGGACACGGCGGTGGAGAATGCACGCAGGGTCCTGACTCCCGGGTGCAAGGCCAGCCACGCATGAGAGCTGCGGCCGCCACGGCTGCGCGGACGGAGAGCCGTAGGGGAGCTGACTGTGAGTTTTTATAGCGTTCTGTCATGTACAGGAAGTCAGACACCAAATCAAATGATGTGGGGATTAACACTCAATTTCCTTCAAATTAATTCAGAGGCTGATAGAATTAAGGTGAAAGTTATATCATTCTGGAAGGCAGTATAAAAGTCTTTGTGTTTTGATGGAATCTTGCAGTGAAGTGTGGAGAGTGAGTGGAAGGGCTCAGTTGTTGACAGTTTCCATTCATGATGGAAAGTCTCCCCTTCAGACAAGTCTAGACCTATTACATTACTATAATGTCTAATCTCTTCTCATATCTGAGAGGCATTGCCTTGTTTTAGCCCTGAGACTGAGTGAGGTTGTATCACAGTTTAAGACCACAAAGCTAGTTCATGCTAGAGTTGGATTCAGAAGTTAAGTCCTCAAGCGTGCATATCAGGGAAATGAATAAAGGAGTAATTAGGATGGATGTAGCAAAGGAGAGTCCCATGCCTACTTAAAATGATACTTTTTTCTATTTTTGTCTGGATTACATGCAACAAAGGGATATTTAAATTTGTTATGATTTTTCATACCTACAAGGCAAATGGGTTGAATTAATGTTACATTTTCAATAGCTTTTTTCGCAGGATCTGTATCTTCTTAAATGTAATGAAGTGCATTCTATTATTAGTTATTCCCCTTTATCTGCTCTCCCTGCTTCTACTGCAATCCCACTGGTGGGACCCCATGCAAGATTGTATAATTGTTTAATCTGGTCAACAAAGTGTATTCTGCATCTCTAATCTACTTTCTCATTAAGGGTACCTGACAGGCCCCACTCATCTAAAGCTTGTAAGCCCCTTAACCAAAGAAATGGAAAAAGATGCAGGAACTAGAAGGAGAAGGAATGAGAGTGGAGAGCTTAGGCTGTTCTGTGCCTGATACCTCCCTTCTTGTTTTGTCTTTCCTTAATGGAAAGTGGGTGTTGGTGCTTCTTCAACAGCTTCTTTTTCAAACTCTGAGGGCCCAACAATTAATTCTCTTGCCCAGCATTCTACCACAACCAAATCAATTTTGTGTCCTCCTTACAGTTGCATGTAACATTATGTTTTTAAACCTGAGCTCATTTTTTTCATACCTCATTCTCTGGTGGCCATGATTGGACCCCCTTCTTTCTTTACCAACAGTTTGTCATTTTTTGGCCTGGAGCTGCAGGTGAGATTTTTGTAGACATTGGTGTCTTTAGCCCAGCAGCCTAAAGACTATAAATCTTTTGCCTGAAATTTGTATTTAATGGTGATTTGATTCCTCAGAGCCACACAGAATCACTTCGTGCATTGTTCTATTTTGCTTTATTCCAAGAAAAAGAAATAAGCAAATGCATGTAATAGGTCATAGCAAAATCATGGAAACAGGAAGAAGTATTAGAATAAGTACCATAGATGCTAAATGAGAGAGGCCTAGACAAATGTTTATGAGCTAATGTGTAAAGAAGGCTGGTAGTGAGGTTCTCAGTTATTTTACTTCAATCTGGATTTATTTATTTATTTATTTTTATTTCAGCATATTATGGGGGAATCTGGATTTTCTTATTAAAAATAAAAACCACAGAACAGTGTAGTCCATTGAAATGAAGTATGAGGAGTTGCTTATATGTAATATAATCAAGAAATGGAAAACAAGGGTCTTGCTTCTAAGGAGAACTAGGGAGGTCACATAAAGTTCAAGAGTGAAACCACTTAAGACAATTAGGCATGGATGGTGCAATAGACCATGGATTCGGTACTGAGATGGTTGGATACACCTTGCAAATTTTTATGGAGTTATCCCCTTATAGTGGCCAAACTATGGTTAGGATTGGCTTACAGTATGGCAATTATAGCTGAATTTGTTTAAATGAATATAAGCAAATCTATTATAATTCACAAACATATCAATCCCTTATTTCTTTGAACTTTGCCCACTGATTAATTAATGAGAAGTATCCTGTGACTCACAGGACAATAACTAGCTCTTTAAATGCACTGAGGATCTTCAAGTTTAGATAGAGTTCTTAGACCACTGACAACCAACCTGGAGAAATGGTACAGTGTAAGAGAGGGAAATCCCCAAAGAGGAGTCAGTAAAGGGAGGGGCTGGGAAGTTTTCCTGAAGGATGAAGAGGGCTATAGGTAGGGCTTGGGCAGACTTCAACTTATTTATCAGATTATATATTATATATATTATATGATTATATCAGAGTATTTGGCTCTTCTACTTTAAAAGTTAGGGAAATCTGTGTTCCACAAGCTGATGGATGCAGGTTCTCCATTCTTTAGAATTTTCTTGTGATTAATATATTGTTTTGATGAAAGAATAAAGTACTGAGAAGCTTACTGCAGAGTCTTTTATTTCACTTTGTGTTCACTTTGGAATCCCCAACATCTAGCACAGTATCAGGCAGGTAACAGTTGGCCAATAAATATTTACTAAAATAAATGTTTACTGAAATCCATCTCTTCTTCCTCAAAACACAAAAATGCTATAAAATATTTTTGAGAAGGCAGATTTTTAAAAACTTTTTATTTTTATTTATTTATTTTTTGAGACAAAATCTCACTCTGTTGCCTGGGCTAGAGTGCCGTGGCGTTGACCTAGTTCACAGCAACCTCAAACTCCTGGGTTCAAGCGATCCTCCTGCCTCAGCTTCCTGAGTAGCTGGGACTGCAGGCATGCGCCACCATGCTTAGGTAAGTTTTTCTGGTTTTGGTAGAGACAGGGTCTTGCTCTGGGTCTGGCTGATGTCGAACTCCTGAGCTCAAAAGACCCACCTACCTGGGCCTCCCAGAGTGGTAGGATTACAGGTGAAAACCTTTTTATTTTAAACTAATTTTAAACCTACAGAAAAAATAGTTGCAAAAATAGAAGAGAGGTTTTGTTGTTGTTGTTTTTGTTTTTGAGACAGAGTCTCACTTTGTTGCCTAGGCTAGAGTGTGAAGCAACTTATACAGTAACTTACATACTCAGGAAAAAAAGGAAGCTGTTCAGTGATGTGGAAATTGTGAAAGAATGCATTGTTGAAGTTGTAGGATGCTTAGACCCCCAAAACATTTCAAAGTACAAACAATTGCCTCTTCCTTTTTTTCTTTTCTTTTTTTTTTTTCCATCTTTGGTTGTCCTAACCTATTGCCTCTTTCAAGAAGAACCACAACTGATTGGCAAAATGAATTCGCCTTCAATTTAGCAGAACAACTTCATGTGATACTTCAAAAGGAAAATATATGTTATTCAATTGCTTTGGATGAATCAACTGATACTACTGATTCAGTGCAGGTTTTATACTTTATTCAGGTCCAAACAGAAAATTTCCTTTGCTATGAAGTGTTACTTGCTTTGGGTACTCTTGTGAATAGAACATGGGGAATAGATAACTTCAACAATTTCAAGATAAATGTAATGAAGTTGGACTTTGGTAATTTTAGTGAGTGCTATGTACAGACGGTGCCCTTTCCATTACAGGAAAATATGAAAGGTTTATTGCACAGTTTTTAAAAAGTGTTAACAGATCCAGATGCTCTGATTTCTTTTCATTGTATCTTGCATCAGCAAAATCTCTGCTAAAGCTACTATTTTAAGTGACACTCTGCAACAAGTTGTAAGTATTGTTAACTATATTGCTGCAAATGCAGCATGGCATCATAAGTTTTGTAACATGCTAAAGTTGAACCATGAGGTATTCAGTGTGGATCTGCCATATCATTCTAAAGCACATTGGTTATGACAGGATGGGTGTTAGCCAAATTTTTTTTTTTTTTTTTTTTTTTTTGAGACAGAGTCTCACTTCGTTGCCCAGCTAGAGTGAGTGCCGTGGCTTCAGCCTAGCTCACAGCAACCTCAAACTCCTGGGCTCAGGCGATCCTCCTGCCTCAGCCTCCCGAGTAGCTGGGACTACAGGCATGTGCCACCATGCCTGGCTAATTTTTCTATATATTATAGTGCCCAATTAGTTTCTTTCTATTTATAGTAGAGACAGGGTCTCACTCTTGCTCAGGCTGGTTTCGAACTCCTGACCTCGAGCAATCCGCCCGTCTCGGCCTCCCAGAGTGCTAGGATTACAGGCGTGAGCCACAGCGCCCGGCCCCAAAATTTTATCTCTGTGAGAACAGATAGTTAAATTTCATAAAGAAGAGAATCAGCAATGTGAATTATTGAAAGATTTCTATAGGAATGAAAAATTTCTGTGTGATATCATGGTAAATCAAAATGACTTGAATATTTCTCTGCAAGGTAAAGCTAAGTCTGTATATGATATGTGGCAAAAAAAAAAAAAATCCAAGCATTTCAAAAAAAGCTATCTTTTTTCAAAACTCTTCTTCTTCAAAAGGAAATTTCTGATGAACATTTTCCCCAGTTAGCAAAGGTCATTGATGAGCAGGATGATATATGTGAATCATCTGAAGAATGTGCAGCTATTATAGACTTATTAATTAGAGATACAATGAAAAGTTCACTGACTTTGAGAATCATGACATCACATTCAAATTAGCATTTCAGTTTCACCTAGTTGATATCACCCAGGTACCTAAAGAACTATAGATGGAATTGCTTGAGCTCTCAGTAGATGACATTTTAAAGCCATTGTTTGGTGGTTCACGCCTGTAATCCTAGCACTCTGGGAAGCTGAGGTGGGTGGATTGCTCGAGGTCAGGAGTTAAAAACCAGCCTGAGCAAGAGGGAGACCCTGTCTCTACTATAAATAAAAGAAATTAAATTGGCCAGCTAACATTAACAGAAAAATTAGCCGGGCATGGTGGCGCATGCCGTAGTCCCAGCTATTTAGGAGGCTGAGGCAGAAGGATTGCTTGAGCCCAGGAGTTTGAGGTTGCTGTGAGCTAGGCTGATGCCATGGCACTCACTCTAGCCTGGGCAACAAAGCGAGACTCTGTCTCAAAAAAAAAAAATAAATAAATAAAGCCATTGTTTGATGCTAAGAAATATCCAGTTGAGGTATGGAAAA